GTTTAACAACTATGACAATAACTCTTAGAAAAATAACTAGTGACAAAAACATATATCCATTCATATCTCGATGTTTTTGCACCTCTGAATTCTCAGGAACTAGATTTAAAGTGGACGATTCGTTCTAGATAAAGTGTGCCCCCTTACTAGCCTCTCTATACAATGCATGTATGAAAAGCAGAAGAAGAATCTGTATTCATGAATAAAACTGACAGTCTCTCGACTCAACAGAAGCCTGTAGAGAAACAGATGATCGAAAGCTCATTTTCGATTCGGGTTTTTGCCTGAGGGTTTTTCTATTTAACAGTTACACAAAGGAATTGAATGCTCATTGAACTGTGTAATTGCCCTAGAATATTAGAAAATTATTACCAATCAAATGAAGTCTTGTCATCGTGAAAGCATCTGAAAGGTTGTGTTCAAATAAGTGGTTAAAGATGATCGCGTAAGTTTCGAAGATACTGTCAACTTACTCTACGTATAATTCATATCGAGCATCCATAGTACACAATTCTATGTAAACACAGCGCATTTCAAATACGCTTTCTTGAAAAGTTTAGAGTGATAGATTTCGTAATTCCAGTACCTATATGCATATCAGAATAAAGTATTAGGACCTGCCATTTTTTTATTAAGAAGAAAGACGCGTGCATAAGCGAACACCGTATAAACGGAAAATAATGGCGTCCTTGCAAGCTTTTTCTTCTATCGTTCCAAGCATCTCGCACGCTCACCCATAAGAGTCGCTTACTGTCTAACAGTGTTCGGTCGTCGCATTTAGTTTTTAGAAGTTCTCTACGTAAAGGGCATTTTGCACGGATGACCTTTCATTCACCAAAGCGCCCTTGCACAACTTTCAAGAGAGTTAATGTAGTCCAGGAAGCCAATGGAACCAGATTTGCCCCTGCAACAAAAATGTGTTTTTTCCATCTTCTGCGCCAGACAGCCATTACAGCGATATTCTGAAAGCGAGTCTCGATGGCCAAGGATACGCCGGTGAAAAACCATTCAATCACCAGCGCAACTGAGGTATGAACAACAAATTCCTGAAGCAGCTTTAAAAGTAGAATGTTTTTTAAGTAAGTGAACTGATACAAATACAAGACGCCATTAACAGACACAATAGCAGTTGATTCACATAACATGCTTAAAATGACAATATCAGCCATTAATCTCTCACGGCGAGGAGTGCGTAAACTTCCCCAAGGAGCTGATCTTCTTTTTAAGATCACATGACAAATATGATCAATAAAGACCATGGTGCTTCGTTCTAGAACTTCTACCGCGCCGTGTATTATTCCAAGAACAGCGATGAATGTGAGGTTATGAAGTTCTGCCTGCATTACTCGAAACATGATCGCTGATCCAAAATAAAACGGCACTAGCAAGGTGTACGAGTATCCTGGATGAATAATTCTCGTCATGCGCTGAGCGCAAAGTCTTAAGATTACCTTAAAGATAACTGCAAGGAGAGGTGAGAAGAGTGCAATAAGGAGTTTACCATGTTCAGTTTGCTTTTGGTACATTGGATAAATAAACGATTTTATAAAGAAGCCAGTAGAGACAGTGAAGAAGTAGGGTGTTGTCAATTTTATAAATAAACTCGTTCTACTCGACAGGTTCCGGAAGTGATTTGTTAGAAGATGAACTGGCCAACATATGCTCATTAGAAATAAAACGTTGAGAGGAATCCTCTGAATCATAGAAATATGAAATATTCCAAGGGCTCCAAGGACAACACGATACACTGCATCCACACAGAAAAGGAAAAAAGCAGCAAGAAAGAGTTTTCTTTTCACACCCTTTAACTGATACGGTCGAAAAAGGAAAAGCATTCCTACAAAGAACCACATATAATAAGAGGTAACACGTATTATGTATAACAATGTTCTGATCCACTGTATTTTAACTGAGATTGTCTCCTTCGGGTGAAATTTCCAGTGCCGCATCGGTTCGGATGAGAAGTAAGAGATCATGATATAAAAAAGGCCGAGGATAACAGCGGTTAGAAGTGAAATCAATGCGCCGATGTACATTGATTGACAAACTGTGCGAAGAACGGATGGTCTGAATCGCTTCCAAGCCATTTCATCATCTTCATCTTCCTGTTCGTCTTCACTCTCTTCTGGTGAGCTTGCATTGATGATCCGATATCTAACTCGAGAGTTCCCTACTGACAAGAAATAATAATCGTTGTCCGATGGCGGTGAATATTCCTGATAAATAGGTTTATCAACGGGCTGACAATTCCACTCTCGACCCTCACTGCTTAAGCTATCGTCATATCCAAAGATCTCCACTTCAGGCTCACAGTGTGTCGTAATGCTCTGTCACGCCGCGTGTGAAGCTGAATAAAATACGGGCTAAAACTTCAACCAGAAAACTGTTATTCATTATCTGCGTTAGAGAGTCTTCGAGTGAACACTTGAGACCTTCCATACCGAGCGAATGCGTTTCGAATAAGCTCCAGGTTTTTTATTATAATGTTTTGAAAGTGGAAATGCTAACAAAGGAGAAACAATACTCCGACCATCTGCATGTTAGTGAAAGTATTGATTATTCCACTTTTTTACTGAATATTGAAGAAAAAAAAATGTTGACGATTAATATCATTAATTTATACATTTCCATCGTTTGAATTTAAAACAAATGCTGTACTCATCGCTATATTAGGCGTGACGTAGAATTTTGTTTTCTCCGAGGTTTAGCCCATTGTTCTTTAATATCCATTACTGATTGTAGCTCTGAAAGTGAAAATACTACACCGAATCAGTTCTATGTCAATTTTAAGCTGAGTAGGTTGTCCTTAAGGCAAACACTTCTTCAATGACTTCAAGATACGTTCTCTAAGTATCAGTCTCGTAAAATATCTCTTCCAATTTTTTTCACCATCATGGAACTTCGCTTCAAATAGATACGTGCCGTTTGTCCACGATTGAAAACGGTTAGAGAGTTTTTGCCAAATAGGTTCGAAAGCCAAATGATATCAAATGACCGTGACTCTTTTGCATGGATAAAAAACTTCCTTAGCAGAAACGCCGCGTCGAAAATAGGCTTTCGGTTAATATTTTGAAGCGAATGAAATAGCTCTTACCAACCGAGTTGGAGGTCCGTACTTATATATAAGCTATGGACCAATTTTTTTCTGCTCGAATTCATAGATCAAGCTTGAGACTTAAGTAAAAGAACTGAATGCTTGTAAATTAATCGCATGGAACTGTTTAATTGCCGTTGAAGATTAGAAAAGTATGAGCAAACGCAGACATTATTTATTGAGGATGCGAAGTCCTGTCATTCTATAGGCGCATGAAAGGATACTTTGACATATCAAGTGGTTACTTTTTGAACAAAATTGAAAGAATTGTGATTGGGGGAGGGAGGCTTAATGGGCTCTATGCATTGTAAAATGTTCGCTACACTCGCTCAATCAGTACTGGATATCGATTCACGATGCACCTGAAATCAGGAAGAATAAAATAATTTATTCGACACATTACGAAAGGTAACGATGATCATTGGAAAAAACTTAAGGCAGCTTATTTAGAAATAATAAATGGACACTGAGAAGCTACAGTTTAGTTGGCCGATCTTCGTTATTTTGACTTACTCCGTAAATGTTGACCGAACATCACTGAAGCCGTGAAATCTAGGAACTCCAGAAGTTCTTACCCTGAAATGCGTGGAAGCTTTTTCACTCCGCCCCCAAGATTCCAGCAACAATTTTCCTAACTGTCTACTATTTACTTCAATTAACCTTTCAGCTCTGACAATTTTTTGTCGAATCAAACAATTTCCTTCATTATAATGCTTTAAATTATTGACTGAAATTATATGTCAACGAGCTGAAGTATTCATTCGACCACTATCGTACGCGGACAATGAATAATAGTTTGCTGATTGAAGTTGTTGCCCGTGTTTCATTCAGCTTCACACAAGGCGTGACAGAGCATTACGACCCTGATGAGCCTGAAGTGGAGATCTTTGGATATAACGATAGCTTAAGCAGTGAGGGTCGAGAGTGGAATTGTCAGCCTGTTGATAAACCTATTTATCAGGAATAGTCACCGCCATCGGACGACAATTATGATCTCTTGTCAGTCGGTAATTCTCGAGTTAGATTTTGGGTCATTAACGCAAGCTCACCGGACGAAGATGAAGACGAACAGCAAAATGAAGATGTCCAAATGGCTTGGAAACGATTCAGACCGTCCGTTCTTCGCTTCGTTCTTTTTCTTTTTCGACCGTATCAGTTAAAGGGCGTGAAAAGAAAACTTGTTCTTGTTGCTTTTGTCCTTTCCTGCGTGGATACAGTGTATCGTGTTGTCCTTCAAGTCTTTGGAATATCTAATCCCCAACTTTCTGTTTTTCAGAAGATTCCTCTCAACATTATATCTCTAAGTAGCATATGTTGGCAAGTTTATCTTCTAACAAATCACTTCTGGAAACTGTCGAGTAGAGCGACTTTATTCATAAAATTGACGACACCCTATTGCTTCACTTTCTCATGAGATTCTTAAAAGTAATCTACTGAACTTCACACCTGAATATAGTTTCTGATACACTCATGCAAGAATTCCACGCAGTGAACCAAAACCCTGCTTTAGAGTTTTAGGCTCGAAAAGAATTTTTAATAGCGACCTTCAATATTCCGGCAAAAATAGACTTAAACCAATATATTCTAAAGTTTTAAAAATATTCGCTAGACAATGTTAGATGCAGTGTTAGTAAACTTTTGCCCTTTAAGTACAACTGCTGGTGCGCAACTGAAAAGTCCCCTACTTCATCCTGAGGGGTGGGGTGAGGATTGAGAAAAGAGGAAGCACAATTGGCTATAATGTCTCATCTTCCACTTTTATTTACTTAATGACTGAGTGGAGGAACCAGAAAGGAGAATATTTGACTCGAGATCCTGACCGAGAGCCAAACATTTTCCCGTCCTTAATATTATGCGAAATTATGTGGTGCTCTGCAGAGAAGTGTTGATTATGAAGCCCTACTAACATCCGTATAGAAGCAAGGAAAGAGGGGATGTATGGAACCATGTAGCTATAAACCTGAATGGCTTTGATCATCCGAAATTCCAAGTCAAGAATATATCCACAAGAGACAGACTGACCTTGTTAATTACCAAGAATAAAACGGATATGCGCCAAGAGGAAAATGCCTCTGGAATCGCTTGCGAAGAGACTGAACTAGACCAAGCTCTCAAAGAGATAATTGATAAGGAGAAGTTAGCCAGCGAAAAAGGCTCCGAAGCAAAGAAAAAAGAAAAGGAAGAAAAAGCAGCTGCAGAGGAACTCAGAAAAACAGCTATGGAACGTTTAGGGCACACTCAAAAAAGGAATTCAGAAGGCGAAAGCGACAGAGCCCAAGCAAAAAAGAGTAGAAGGAGATCTTTTGATGTCGTGCCTTAAGGAAAAACATGAAAGTGAAAGCGATCAGAGAAAGGAGGAACTGGAGTTGAAAAAGATAGAGCAGCAGGCGAGCGTGGAGCTACAAAAGCAGCAGCATGATATGATGAAGCTATTCATGCAGCAGCAGCAACAGCAAACTCAAATACTGCTGTCTTTGCTTGCCAAAAAGAACTAAAGTAGAAGGCTATCACAGGTATACGTGTATCTTGCAGAGTAAAAAACCGAAAATTTGTGTTGAAGTTCAGTTACCGTTTTCCAAACATTGGGCCTATTTAGTTAAATATCTTCTGATATTTCTTCCAATGACGTTATTCATTTGTTGTGTTGTTGATTTATATTATTTTCTGACACTGGTAAATAAGCACTTTTGAATGCAGTTTTGGTGATATTACCTTCCTTACTGGGGGAAGTATCCCACTTTCCCAATAATTTTCCAATTGTTGTAAAGAAACATTATTTTTTGTGAATAATTGTTGATTGTGAAGCAGAATTAAATGGTTTTATCTGATACATTTTGGCAAAACTATTCTCTATTCTTGGTGGTTCCAAATAACCAAAGTTTCAAAGTACCTGTTTCAAAATATAAGCAAATGTGGGCATTTATTTTTATGCAAATACTACGTATTGGTAACGAGCATTAGTGGCTACCATTAGTTTCAACACCAGAAAAAACATTTTCTCCCAATTTTTTGGTTCCCCCAGAAAAATATATCCATGCTCCTTCCTTTGAAAAACTATCAGGGGGAAGGACAGGAAGACAAATTCATATGGTCTGGAAGGGGTCAATTTGTGTTATTTTTACATGACCAATTCATATATTTTCCACATAATAATATTATTTTAAATTTCAGAGTGGAGGCTAGGTGGGGTCATTGATCAGACTCCATAGGAAAGGTAATTTAGGATGTTAACAACTGGGTTGAAAACGTAAATTATCCACCGTAAAGAGTAAAAAATAAGTGACGTTTCGAGCGTTAGCCCTTCGTCAGAGCGAACCCATTGGAGGAATTGTGGGTTGTGTGTGGGTTTATATGCAGAAAGTGGAGCTACGCCATTGGTGGGAATATGGTGACGGATCTAGTTTTCTGGAACAAAAAAAAACAACAGAGAAAACAATTTGATGGAACTTGAAATCAAACATTTTGTTGGGTAAACCAGAACCTCAAACGCTGAAAATTTAACAATGTTTTGTAAAAACCCCACATAAAATATATCCATTTTTTTTTTCTGTTTGAACTAGAAAAAAAAAATCAAGTTTGAAAAACTATCAGTGTGGTCCATTTGGGGCAACAGGACAAATTAGTACAAACTTTTTGTGCATATGGTCTTGTTCACCCGGTTTGCGTAGGGGCGGATGGCACCGTCTATAAAACCGAAGCAGTTCTGTAAAGCTGCCCCCTTCGCAGCAAAAGCATCGCTGTAAATCTGTGGATCAGCAGGGCTTAGAACAGTGGGATTCCATCGAGTAATTCTATGACTATGTGTATCGTAAACGAAGTCAAGCACATCGCTGCAAACCACATCACTGTACCTACAAGGGTAGGATAGTCTTCTGAGCAGGATACAGAGGCCTTCCATGCCGCTTTCAACACTTCGTTGATAGCATGTGAAGCTTTCCGGTATTTGGAGTGCTTCAGCAAGAATTGGTGAGTCACGTTTCTTAACTCTAAACTGAGTCAAACATTCGGAGTCATTCATGTCTTCGAGTTCCAGCCTGTTATAATTTCCGCACGATAAGTCTGTGTTTTTTGGCGTAAACTCTTCATGAAGTAAGAGAAGCTCTGCATCATCTACGGTACCGTCATCATGGCTGAGAAGGAAGAGCTCTTGTAACTCGTCGAAAGACATTTTGTACGCTTCAATCAAGTTTTCCCTTTGCTTACATGAGATGACGTCCACAACGAGCGTGCGCTTAACTCTAAAACTTTCCTGCTGTGAACCACGTTCTCGTACCAGTGCTCTCGCGGCGCAGTTCGTCGTCGTCGTCTCTATCGGTGTCGATGCTTAAGGTCCCTTCTGTCTGACTCAAGAATACACAAATTGATGCTAGGGAATCGTCATTTTCATTCCACAGGTTGAAGTTTTTCGTATGCTTCGTGGTTTAGCCCTTTCAAGTGAAGGAACGCGACGGTACCAGTTTTAAATAATTTTTTTTTTCAAGAAAATTGCGCTAAATCACTAAAATGAACACTAAGAATAAACCACTGATAATTTCAGAAGACAAATAAAGACCTAAATATTTTTAAATCGCTCGGATGCACTTGGGTGATAGACCACTATAACATAGAAAATGGCAGACTAAGCGCGCAATGTCTTGTGGTTGACTAGGATCCTTTAATAGCCAAAATGCTAAAAAACTCGTAACCCTTAATTTATTAAACAAATAATCGAACAGGTAAAAAAAGGGAATAGCAAAACAAAACGAAACAGAACGAGTTGTATGAAGACTATATCAATTTTTTAAACCCTTGTCCTAAATTTAATTTAATTTGATGTTTGTCTTACAACAGCAACTCCAACAACGACGACGACGACGACGACGACGACGACGACGACGACGACGACGACGACGACGATGACAAAGCAACAACAAGACTTAAAATGGAAACTTCTCTGGAGACGAAAGTGGCAGTTCTCTCCTGGCCCGCTAGTCAAGGTAGGCAGCTTTATGAAAATATACTCAGGAGAATTTATAATCAAAGATAAAATATATAATAAGCCTCAAGAAGAGAGAAATGAAACGATATGAAATCGCGAAAAAATGTCATAAAGTGTGTAGTTGATAAGGCTGTTAGATGAAGAACAACTTGTTTTGGTTTTCTTCCATTTCTGAAAGGTTTTGAACTTCTCTGTCATTAAAGGTGAGTGATGAGTCAGCGGCAGATTGGTCCCGCCAAACGATATCATCCCGAGAACCCATTGTCACATGACATTTCGTTGAAGACTGTGACGTAAGTACTCCTTCTATCGGCATCACTCAGGACTTTGTAATTAATACGTGGGTCGTAAGACGCCTGTTACTCGTAAAGCGTCGTTTGCGTCGGGAAAACAATTTCGATTAATTCTTTACACTCTTTAGTATTCGTGTTCTCCTCACTGTCCTCTTAAATTTACAATAACACTGACAAGGAGAATTTGTTGGACAATCAAGAACTTCTCGAATTTTTTATTTTTTATTCTCGTGACCTTTATATTTGATTCAAGGGCGATTCTGTCAGGAGGAATTTACAAGTTAGTCACTCTCAGGAGTTAAAGGGTAACATACTATAGAACGAAACTCCAACAATATGAATTAAGTTAATAGTTAATTTGTAATTTTTACTTTCTAATATTTTTTAGAGCTCTGATCTCTACACAGAGTTGGATAAATTATAAGGTCACTCAGCTAGAGATTTTTATGACAGTGATACTGATAAGTTGTCATCTATTATATTTTTTTTTAATGGACTCAACAGATGAACAGGAGGTTTGCTCATCTCTATAAAGCTATGGTTTACAGACCAACAGTTCTGCAGCTCAGCAGCCAAGTTATTCTTGAGGGAGATACCCGTATCAGCTCCTCTGCACAATCAGATTTTCATGAAGTTCTAGATTTGTCAACTTTGTAACCGGACAATTTCCCCGCCACATCTACCCCAGATAGTGTTGAACACTCTGGTCTGAAAATTTACAAGACAAATGTGAAAAGCATCCAACAAATGCTATGATCACTGACACAATACTTTTTTTCTAGTTCAAGTGAGTGTATAATTGTCAGTGTAATCAGATATATATTGTAAACATAATTTCTGTTGCTTACAATGTATAAAGAAACATGTTTACATACATAATAACAATTTTGTGTTTTGGTTAGGCAGTCCTTCTTCATGCCTACAATATAACCAGAAATAGATTATGTGAAAAAGGATGGTCTGTCTAACTCTGCTACATGTGCTTGGACGTGAACTTTTTTTACAAAATAGACCTTTATTAAGTATAAGTTAATTTTTCTACCTGTGTAGTGGTAGGTTTTCTTTGAGTCCAGTACTTTCTCCATAACGAAATTCTTCACACTTACTTACCAACTGAAATCGTACACGTTCATAGAGTTGAAATAGGTTTTAATTTTGGAAATCAACGCTTACTTCTACGTTCTACAGCGATTCGTGGGTACTAATCTCCTATCAGACGTGAGTTTATTTGACAACCTACGCACTTAAAATCCTGGAAATACCTGATCAGATACATCACTGTACGCAGAACTAGTTCGATTTTTCCATGTCACTCACATTCTGCGCATCTACTTCAACGGCAGCAAAATAACAACTTTCTTGATAACCAACCAAGTAAATGATAAAAGAAAGATGTCAATTTTGAGCGAAGAAACGATTCTTGAAAGTGGGAAGTTATTTAAGGAACTGAAATTGCCAAAGCCGAAGTTTGGACATACGTGCCGCGAGCTCGACTCAATGTCCAAACTTTCGGGGTTTGGTTACATCAAAAGTCACGTGACACTACACGTGAAATCTGAAGCCCAAAAGGTGAATTGCGTATATCTGTTATAAAGTTTTTGTCGAATTCTCAGTTGTTCAGTTTGATTAAACACAGGATCAGTTAAATGCTAACCAAGAGGTTAGTTTCCTGTGCTTGAAGAAGTTGTAATCAATAATAATGCAATCTAGTTCTCGAGTTGAAGGGCTATTCGGACGGAAACTTGTTCCAGGGATAAGCGATTGAATGGATTGTTCATGAAGTGGGTTAATATTCCACAATTCGTTAGATTGCATAGCTACATATAAGAAATTGCATAGCGGCCAAAGGGTCTGATGGCTCAAAGAGGGAGATTTTAAATCTCTCTGTGGCTTAGTAAAGTCACGTCTTCGAGACAGTGACAGTAAAATCATCTTTACTCGAACGTTGAAAAGTTTCAATGTTCAATCGTCATTTTGAAAAAAAGGATCTTCCAGTGTATGATAATGTACACGTGGCACTTACTGCTGTTATATAACACCAGGGGCCCGTAGAGTTACTGAGTTTAGTCATCAAATAATTGCCTTCTCCTTCGCTTGTTATTTGTCTAATTATAGTACGGTGAATTTGATCACGAGCGGTCCCTCCTTTTCGGCCAAGTACATCACGGAAAAATATACAGCGGAAAAAGCAAATAAATATTTGCGCGCCGCGCAGAACTCCTAGGAGCACGTAACGCTCTGCACCTCGCTCCCAGAGTTCCACGTGGCGCGCTACCATTGATTAATTTTTTCGCTGAAACACGCGCTACCATCAATTAATTTTTTTGCTGAAATTGTTGACTCGTGCAACGAACTGCTCCAAAATTGAGGGACTGCTCGTAGTCTTCTTGAAATAATAAGGAATAATTTTATTTTATTGCACGATGCTGATATTTTCAATGAAATTATTACAAGACTGGTATGGTGTGTTTGTTCTTTGTTTCGTGGGGAGTCTTGTTTCGTCAATAGGGAGTTTAAGCAACGACGACAGCTACGCCGTGGACAACGTTGGTTAAAAAATGAACTTATTTTTTACCTACGAGTCTTGCGATACTCCAAAGTCATTTAGCTTGTTTCTCACTGTCAAAATTATCTCGAAACTGAATATGGAACACAGCGTTGAATTAGAAATAGGAATTTGAAAAGGCTAGCCATCATCGTTCACGTTACCCAGACAACGCAAAGTTTGGTCATTCCACGTTGTTGTTTTTCAGAGGATGCAAAAATTTACAAGGGTTTATGACGCACGTGCACAGCTATTGTTCTGCTCATTAAACCTTTTGTTTAGTGACGTTCCCGTTGCCATTGCCGTCGTGAGTTTCTTAAAACTCCCCAACGCTGCGAGACACCGGAGTCCGGGAATAATACAAGTAGATTTTTAAAACGGCCTTCTTCTGAAATGCTTTCAGGTTTTCGCTCCTTCAAATTGCGTTCCAGACACTGTTTTATCTTCAAAAATCTCGAGCTAATTATTTATTACATGCAGGCTAAAAGTGCAGACCCGAGAATGAGTGCAACCCTGTTACTCCCAACATCTCATTTAATGATTCTACTTACTCTCTGTCATAAACTTCTTGTGGTAATTCCCCAATTTATATTTTTCTTTATTCTCATCTCTTATCTGCTTGATATTGTATTGATGTTGTAAAGAGAAATTCTATCTTAGTCACTCATTAAGAGCAGCGTCTCCTAAATGCGCTAAATATTTAACAAATTTACAGTGATTTAGCGTGGTCTGTACACTCTTATTGAAGACGATATTCGCCGTCAGAATGGCCAAAATATCTGCTCCTTGTGAGTCCGTAACAACGAGCTTAATTTATGTGATGAAAATTATATACAAAAATAGGAAAAATAAGTTTGCTTCAATATGCTCGTTTTGAAATTAAAGTAAACAAACGTCAGTACAAAGTAGGTAATTTTCTTTTTAATTTTTCGAAAGTAGTAGTATTAGTTAAGCTTCTTCTGAAAATGACTTTACCATGTAACATCTGATATGGGAGGTTGCCTAAAAAAGGTAAATATCTTGCTAATTTTCTCTCTTTTTGCCTTGTTTTATTATAACATGTTTTCATTTACCATTTGTTTAAGAACTTTATTTACAAAGAATTGAGATGAATATTTCTCTATAGGTTAAATAACCTCTATATGAGCAAAACACTTTGGAATTCTTCTGTTCACAATTTAAATCCTCAAAAAGTGATTGAAATTAATTCCAGTTCTTGGAAAGGTTTACCAATTAATTCATGGGATTAAACGCCAAGAAAAAACTGGAAATCCCACAAACAAGTTAATGATAAAACTAAATTTAATTTCGTATAATAATAAGAATCAGAATATTAAATGTGTACGTGAGGTCATCGGAGAAGTGATTGTTCACACTGACTACTGTTACCTGCCCTTTATAAGCTTCTCCTGAGGAAGTATTTACACAATGCTATGTGAAAACACTGTATTCGACGATGTTAAAATTGAAATCCACGACAAATAAAACAGAGAAACAAACTTTTCTTGCGCTTTATCTGTCAATTAAAATTAATGTCTGTCCCACAAACCTAACTTTTCCCATCTATCAAAGAGAATCACAAAAAACTTGTTGCGATGTTTTTGCTTACGAACGTAATTAAAACAAGAACTGCGGTTTAAATTAGTGTTGCGTTATTTGTATCAGAAATGTCAACAACTTAGTGAAAAGTAAAAATTTTCATCAATGCTGTTATTGGTTCATCACAGGCAGCTGCTAAATTTGTAAACCAATAATCAGAACACCTTTGTTTCATGATAAAAGTATCAGGAGCCTCGCTCCTAATTTTGTCACTTCTGAGCGATAACTGTCTTGAAACTTAAACAATATTCGATGTATGTCTGAGATATCAATATAGAACCTCCGTTGTCTTTCGGTCAACCATGGAGTTTAGCTTGCTATTTATGTTTTTAGCTTGGACTGCAGTGATGACTTATTTAACGTTTGGTATCGGTGAGTTGCAAACTGCGAAACATTTTTAATTTTCAAAGTCATCCTCCATAAGTGCAATTTCGAACGTATGTTCAGTTTTCTCGTTTCCCTGTTCCAGTCATAACTGTTCATAACTGTCTGTACAGAAGCCCTTGGCTTAACACTTACCTGTGGGAACCAATTTATGTAACGATTCATATTTCCGGCGTCCAACCATAACGAAAAACCTGAATTCAACATCAACGACTGGAGAATGATGACAACATTTCTTGGGTAGAAATTAAAGGGGAAATGAACGAAAGGGAATTTTTATCGAATGCCATTTAGAAAAATCAATAAATTAGTCATGAAAGAAAGTAATAATTTCGGATGCAAAGGAGAACTTCTAATTCTCTAAGCACTGGGTGGGGCATGGATTCCGAAGGTCTGAGGTTCAGTTCCACAGGGGAACTCGGAAGTTTTTTTTTGTCCTACGTTCGTGACAAGGTAAAAAGATATCTTTAGTATATTTTTTAACAGCGGACAGTGTTGAAGCGTGATCTAATATTCACCTCCAAGCAACTCGCGCGGGATTTGCGCCCGAAAAAAGTTGTAATCGTTGCAGGAATAAATGAGTTCATGTGAGTTTAAATCATCTTTGCGATGCATTTCATCATCTGGCTTCGAGGCTCGGTAAATATGTATCACTAGCCACCTCCGCTTCGGTGAAAAGTTGGTAATTATTATTGAATTGTTTTATTTTAGAGAGAGATCGCACGATGCTTTTTCCTGATTACTACTTCGTTGCTGAAAGACGTTTGGTAAATCATACGATTGCAACAAAATACGTCAAGAACTTTGATGACTGCGAGCTTTTGTGCTACTTGAACGACAGCTGTGTCAGTGCTAACTTCAAAAAGGATCCAGAGAATGGTGGAATAGCTTATGCCTGTGAACTGAATAACGCCACTCATCTGGAGCACGAGGTGGACCTGATAACTGACATCGTTTTCTATTACCGTGGGTCTGAGGTGGGTTACAACTTAAAATTAGTGCAATAGTCGTCTCGGAATGAATATTAGGGACCTTAAGCAGTCAGGACGGCAACGCCAAGGTTCGGTTCGCAGACAACGCAAATTGTGGTGATTTCACGTCGTTGTTTTGCATAGGACGGCTAAGAAATGTACACAATTTTAAAACGCTCGTGCTGAGCTATTGTTCTGCCAACAAAATTTTTTTTTCCATGTCCTCGTTGCCGTCACCGTTGTGGTTTGCTTAAGGTCCCTAATAGGGAGTGTAAGGAACCCCGGAGACAAAAGCAACAGGAACATCTCTACACAAAAAGGTTTTAATGATTTGAACAACGGCTGCGCACACGCGTTCAAAATCTTTGTAAATTTCTTTGTTTACTCTGCAAAATAACCACCTGAAATGACCAAACTTTGTGTTGAGCGACGACGGGTAATTTTTTAAATTTCTATTTATAATTTAACGCTGTGGACTATATTCAGTTTCGAAATAATTTTGAAAGTGAGAAACCAACTGAATGGCTTTAGAGCATCGCGAGATTCGTAGGTAAAATATAAGATAATTTTTTAACCGAAGTTGTCCACGGCGTCGCCTTTAACTCCTTAGTTAATTAGGAACCTTTAGCAAAGCAGAGGATGACGTCAATGAAAAAATGAATTTACATTTTCCGTCAGAATTATGCGAATTGCTGATTGTGTTTGTCATCTTTTACGGCGCCACACCGCAACTTTAGCATCACGATGTAAACAACTATGAGTTCCAAATGGACACTTGAATAATTTTCCGTCGGGTTTACGTTCTCAGAGCGGGCAAATTTTGGTGAGTTAACGTCGTTGTTTTGCAGAGGACGGCCCAGAAATGTATCAAGTTTTAAAACGCTCGTACAAGATCGTATAAGATCTTTTGTTTTGCCACGTCCTCCTTAACGGGGTTTGCTGATGGTTCTTTTACAAACAAACTCTTGTTTTTCTTTGTTCCGTTCTTTCCCTTTCTCTCTAGTTAATTTTTGTTTACTTTTAAAAATCTTTCATTTCTGATTCAGAACGCCTGCAGCAAAAATCAACTCTGCCAAAATAACGCAGCTTGTCAGTCTGGTTTCACAATCAAAGGATATCGATGCTCGTGCCCTCCTGGATTCGAGGGAGAATATTGCGAAAAAGGTAAGTTTTAGATTTCTGCATAAATGTCGCTCTGATATTCATGCTAGCACAACGCTACTACCCGTGGGTTGATTAACGGAGCGTTTGATTGTTAAACGTGTCTCGTTTAGTTTGACGTTTGCCTGTACTCCTTCGTGTTTTTTCAAGGGGGGAGGGGTCAGTTATAATCACTCTAAACGTTTTATCTCAACGTCTCTTTAAGGAGAAAAATGAAGTGTCTCATCATACGCAGATGATGCGAAAGTACGCTTGAACTTGCATTTAATTCATCTGAAAGGTCTAAATGAAGAAAAACAGGAAAATATTAACGTTACAAATACGAGGATCGAGAAAAGTGTATGGTATTTGCTGAAGCAGTTTGCATTGTTGATGGAAATCGTGAAACTGAAAAAAGGTTCCTCCGCACTCCTTTTGTTTTCTTTTTCACTATTTGTCTAATTTTATGTTTCTTTCTATCACCTTTTTTAGATATCGACGAATGCAAAACAAATTCTGACGATTGCAACGCAAATGCTTACTGCAATAACACTTCTTCTAACACAATACTTCTTGAGGCCTCTGGGTTCTCATTGGCAAGGCCTAGATACAGAAATCCTAAAAAAATGGCCCAAAAAAGCTTTCGGAAATCGTTTATGTTCTAAAAATCTCGTTTGACCCTGAAAACCTAACAAAATCCAGATTTTTGTATCAAGCCCTATCATAGGCAGCAACTGAAAGGATATTTATCTTTTTATTTATCTACCTTTTCATTTATTTGTCTATTTCATCATTCATTATTTGGTTTTTTTTCTGATTGCTTCTTTTGATATCGAGCCAGTTACAACGCTGAAAGTCGTTTTCTTCTTTTAGATCAGAGCGTTTGTTTCTATTCAGTGTCGTAAAATCAAAACCAAAGCAATGACAACAGCCAATCAGAGCAAGGGAAGTATCATAAGGAGCCAATGAGAACTCGAAGCGCGGAATCTGCCTGAAGCGCGGGAAACGCGAGTGACCAAGTTGTGTTTGGTTTTAGTGTGGAATCTGATTGGTCAAGAAAGTGGCGCGAATTTTCAGGACCAATCAAAGAGCGAAGTAAAGCAAGAACGAACAATTTTTAGAGAGAACTATACTTTTAAGACTATGTGTTCATGATGATGGTCCACCACTTCATAAAATTCTACAACGGTTTCACTTTTTTTTTTTTTTTTTGTTTACAATGGTTTCCTTTTGTTTTTCCTGTTCAGTTGATCCATGTCAACTCTACACAGTTTTACATGATGAAGATCGAGACATAGAGGACGTTGGAGGCAATGAATGTGACAGCCAACTAAACACTGGCTGGTATCGTTTCCTAAACAAGCCAGGAATACGAATGCCGACTACGTGTCCACCGACTGATAGAAGGTGTGGTACGACATGGCCAGGTTGGTTAGAAGGAGTTCATCCGACGGTGGAAGACGGAATAGTTGCAAGAACTGTCTACTTTCGAAGGCGTCAAAACTGTAAAGAACTAGCTGTACACAACATTGAAGTAAAGAACTGTTCTTCCTTCTTTGTTTACCATTTAAGACCAACCGGTAGTTGTAACTATCGTTACTGTTACTCCTCTAAGTAACCATTTCACCCCATAAGAGTGACTAGCGTGTAATTTCTCCTTACCATATCGCCCCTGAATCGAGCATTAGGGTCAGGAGAATGAAGGAAATGATGAACAACCAAAGAAGATTTAATTTATATGGCAAAATCTGTTTGTAAGTACCAACTGTAACTAGTTGTTTACTGTTCTCCGTACATTTTTCCGACGGCATTAAACACTCGGGCTCTTAGTTCGAGCTGCACACCCACCCTCGTGTGTAAGTCGTGATTTAAGATAGGAACGCCAGCTTCCTTGCGGATTTGTTGTGAAAGGAATAGGCGATTACAATTTCGAGGTCGTTACAACCAGAGTGCGTAGCTGGCAGTTTTATTTGGGAGTACTTGAGCAAGTTGCAAGGCCGCAAAGGGAACGGAAAACACCGATTCACGCTTTAGCAGCGAAATAGCTCACAAGTTGATTGCGTGACAAAAATTAACTGCCAAATATGTGTAAAATATAACCAAAAAAGATGCGCAAAATCAACTTGAAGAAAGAATGAGAACGCTGGAAAAGGTCAAATCAAATTAAATTTTTAAAACCTCAATAACCTGGTAAACTAGTAGCCAAATATATGTAGCATATGGCTTCATTGCAGCCAAATCAACTTAAAGGCAAGAATTAAAATCGCTCAAGCGGAACGAAAAATATTTTCATATCTATGTTGAGAGCTCTATGTACTCAGGCTAAAATTTCGGCCTTCGTATCACCCTTAAGTAATTTGAGCTGAAGAAAGTACATGTAGCATGATATTGTGGACAGAGGCAAACCTCATACGGGAGGCTCGCAACTGTTATCCCCAATTTCCCCAATGGATCACCTGGGAAGACAATGAGTGCAAAAGATTAAAAAAAAGGAAGAAAAAAAAGGGAAGAAAGGAACATCCCAGAGTTCGTGATTTTTGATTACGTTTCATAACTTAAAATTTTGCAAATGCTAAAAAGAAGTAAACATTCCCTGTTTGTCTCATAATTACTTTATCTTTTTTCAACTGTGATTATCATAATTTTATTTTTTTAGAGAAATTATGGACCCATTGCGCATGGCCGGATAAATTTCAAGATGCGACAAAAGCACTATGTGCATAATCAACTTGGCGTACTCAGGCTTTTTTGCAGGCAAAATAACAGACACCTTGCGCTTTTATCCAGTCTTAAAATTGCTCCTGAACATCCTTTTTATTCAGTCCTACAATGTACTTCAGATCCTTTATTTCGGAGATGATTTTATTATTTTATTTATTTATTTTGTCTATTTATTTGCAACAAAACCTTATAAGGAAAACCTAGAAAAGAATAACTGGAGTAAGAATTAAGTAATTTTGCGAAGAAACCCAATAGAAGCTAAAAGCTTTTAATATTTTGATTCCTTGGTGCTTTATCTTTTGTTGACTGGCGGTTACATTTACTTTGGCGTTCAGTCACTTAACGACACTCATTTTAAAGTGGTTCATGTGAGATAAATACATAGTATTAAGTAGAAGCTGTTCAATTTTTGTCAAAATGATCGCTTTAAAGTCGCCATGCCCTATTATTTACACAAGTCGAAAAGATGAGCTAAATAACTCACGTCCTGTAAAATGTCACTGTTAGTCTACAATTTCACTAACTCAGATTTGTCCTCTTGTTTTTTTTTTTTTTGAATTTTTTGTTTTTGTTTTTGTTTGTTTGTCTGTTTGTTTTTCTGTTTTTGTCTAATATTTGTTATTTCGTTTTTGTTCCGTTTTGTTTTAACCTCTGTAATCAACCATGCTCTTGCATGTGATTATTACGAAGGCGATTATTTTTAGATGAAATTTAAAGCACTTTTGATTAATGATTATGATAAAAAAATGACTACGCAAAATTCCTAGTGTACATGAAACTTCGCACTCAGTCTGAACCACAATAACGCCTTATAGCATAAAGTTTGTAAATATGGTAGGATCCACACTCTTTCTCGGAGATACTCACAGTATCTTCGCATCCAGACTTTTTATCACTAAAGCAGACCTTCCTGGAAGGAGGAGCATCTTCTCTCATTAACCAGCCAGAGAAGACTGTACCACAACTGAATGCTGGCACACGCGTTGTTGGCATTTTTGTTCCTGCAGCTCCGACAAAACGATACCATCCCTCTGGGAGTTTCTCATCACATAGATTTACGTCGCGTATTTTGTAACTACTCTTTCTAGAGGCATCACTGAGGTTTTTGTAATCATAGCAAGGATCGGCTACAAAGTTAAATGATGATTGTAAGACGATTTTTGTCGTTATTACCAAAGGCTAAATAATTTTTTAACGCCTTCAAATCCTAACAGTTTAGCGACCGACCTTAATTATACAAGAACAATAACTATTAATTGCAGTAAATAAGAGTTCAAGTAGTACTTGTGTGGGAATGTTTCCATCGACGAAGATAAAAAGTCAATGTAGGAAATCAAATATTGCTAACTATGGATATCATTATCTGAATTCATGTTTCTTCTTTCTTCAATAACGCAACAAAGGAGTTGCAGCTTTAGGCAAGCTAAAGGTGCAGCAATATGGTCGCTACTGGCTAGCTGAGAACTAACGACTTAGACCGAGTCTAACCTATAGCGGTAGATATTTAACGCACCTTCACAGTTAAAACCATCCCCAATGTATTTAGGATTACAAGAACAGTTGTATGAACCATAAGTATTAATGCAAGAGGCATTTGCATGACATTTGTTCAATTGATCAGCTCGAGCATTACTGCATTCGTCAATGTCTGAAAGAGATCATGCATAATCCGTAAAGATCAAATTACAGCGGATGTCACAAGATGATAGAGTTATCTAAATGTCATAAAATTTGATACTCGTAATCTTTAACACCAATGTATATCAAAAGAGCAGAATTTTTCCTTAGAAAATTGGACATCAAAGACAACGTAAAGTAGCTTAAATCAGCCATTTATTCATCTGAGAAGTAACACGATGAAAATAATCCCCGGATTTCATTATGAAGCCAAATTTCATAATAATAATAATAATAATAATAATTTATTTACTTATATAGCGCCCTTTAACATTTATGGGATGATCAAAGGCGCTTTACAATCCAAGAAAACTAATATTACAATAGATAATTACAATAAAAATGCTATTTACAATAGATAATTACAATAACAATACTAAAATAAAATAATGATAGTAAATGAATACATAATGAAAGAATGAATGAATAAAAAGTAAATAAATAAGATACAAAATACCGATAAGATTGTAATGCGAATCTAAAACGCTTACTTAAAAAGATAGGTCTTAAGAGATTTCTTAAATAGCGCTAGCGAATCAATCGTGCGGATGTGCGCAGGCAAGCTGTTCCACAGCGCAGGCGCAGAGGCATGAAACGAGCGGGCACCTAAAGTTGTGCGCATAACCCCTTTTGGGCGTTCTAAAAATATTTTATCATTATTGCGTAATTGATACTGATTGCAGAGATTCATTTTAAACTTCCCGATATGCAGAAAAACATACTAAGTCACAGAGCAAAGTAGGATTTTTGATGCAGAATGCGTTGTTATACGGCTATAAATTTTTTTTCAACAGCGGCCCTATCATTAGTTTCTTTTGTTTCGCATAAAATCTAACGATTACATTTTTTGGGCCAAAAGTTTCTCAACGAGCAACATTACAAAATTCTACGGCGCTAGAGAATACAATGTCACGAAATTTTAACTACCGATCGCCGACTGGTGTAAAGGGGTATATTCTCTCGCGCACGTGCAGTTAGAATTCCAAATAAATTAAGGATATGGCGAACGGCAATATAAGATTGAGAAAAAAAACCTCGATGTTATAAAATGTAATACTCCAAATGTAAATTTTACTCCGGTGTCCTAACGGATTTGGACCCCCCTAGATTTGGACCCCCCGGTCCAAATCCGCTAGCGGATATGAGCCCCTCGGTCCAAATCAGCTAGCGGATATGGACCCCCCTCTGCGGATTTGGACCCCCCAACAGAACTGAGTGCAAACATCATTCTTAACATTCTCACAGAAATAGATAATACTTTACGTTTCAGTGCGTACTAAAATATGTTTTTATTTCAAAACATGCGTATCGCCAATGCATACGAGGTGGCAGCTGGAAATGACACGTCGGATTTTTCTTTTGACCAAGGAAAAATGCGCAAGCATTTAGTTCAATGTTTGGAGAAAGGTCGTTTTTAAACTTTTTCCGCGATAGTCGAACACTGCTAGCTTCAGTAAGAGACAACTTTTGACTTTTATTTTGTTATTGTTCAATTTTCGAGTGTTGGGACGACATGGTACAGTATGAGTTTGTTATTTTAGATCCCTCAACAGCTAATAATCTAAAAATAAGCTGAGAGTTTCAATAGCTCAGAATAGAAACATTTTTACTTATCACAGGCTTTACGAACGACTTGTATTAGGAGTAGTTACCTTGTTCTTGTTCAGAAATTGTTTAATGTAATTTAATCAGAAAATCAGACTGAGTTATTTTTGTGACTAGACGCAATAGTCTCCACTATTGTTATGGCGTTTCGTATCAATGTTAATTCGCATCAGAAGTAGCAAAGATTTATTGTTACAATTTCAATAGTTCGAATGCCGTAGTTTGTTCGTTTCTAATTCTTGCGTATATTCCTTACGACTCGCCATATTAAATGCAGCAGAATTGGAACGAAATGGTTGTTTTTCTTCACCTTTATTGAGGAATGTTGTGTTGTGCTTAAAAGGAGCATCGACAAAAAGCTTGCAAATAGAATTAGTTACCAAATATGATACAAACGATGCTTAAACGGTTGGTCTGGAGTCCAAATCTGCGAAGGGGGGTCCATATCCGCCAGCGGATTTGGACCGGGGGGGGGGGTTCAAATCCTCTGTGACACTGGGGTTCTTTAATTCCCTTGTTCAAAAGCCAGTTTGGGATAATTTTCTCGATTCTCTTTAGAGCAAGCATTCATAGCATTGTAGACAAAAAATGAGGCTAGATCTTTTTTTAAACTTACAGAGCTGAAATCAAATTTTACACTTATCCTGGGTTATCTTAACCCAGCTTTGAACAACCCGGCACAGGAGTTCAAATATTTCAACGAGCAGTCGATGCAAATTAAGACAACGATTGGTTTTGTCAGAAAATTTACATGCATTGGATTTTTTTTTAATCTTCATTTTGTTATTTAACATATTTACAAAAAATTTATCCCTAGCTTCGAGGTTTATGGTAAAACTTGGGGTTTCTTTTCATGCCTTCGTCTATTATTATTGCAACCTCCATTTAAAGGCAGAAAGAAACAAATAGTACCGAAATTATTCAATTTCTGAGGGGACCGTAAACTCATTGTGGGCAGTGCAAAACAATCATCAAGGATCTCATTTTCTAACAGGGCAGAATGCTGCGGCGTAATAGTTGGACTTTTCCTAACAGTTCTGGTAAGAGTTTTCTTATACTAAAGGAAAGCTATCAAATTCACCTGTGCAATTTTGTCCATTTCCAGTATATCCAGGCTGACATTCACATACATGTGATCCAATGGTGTTCGTACATTTTGCTTTCTCGTGACAGGAATGCTTTCCTTTACACTCGTCAACATCTAAGTAATCACAGGAAAAGGATCTCACAATTATGAAAAATTTGCTGTACATCAGCCATTACCTTGTTGAAGATTGCAAGCCATGGCTGCTGTCAACCCTGGATTGCGAGAACGAGATTCTCTCAAATGTATAAAACAAGTTATCTTTGTGAAAAGCTTGCACTGCAAAAGTTTTAGTTCAGGAACCGCCTCCCCCTTCGTTAAAAATCTTGGCTTTCCACGGTATCGTACAAAACGTACAAAATTCATTGTAATTGTCAAAAAGAATCTGAAAATTTTTGAGATTATTGAATGTACCTGTACAACTGCGTCCATCTCCAGTATATCCAGGTTTGCATGAGCAAACGTGTGATCCGTCTGTGTTATTGCAAGTCGCGTTTACGTGGCATTTGCCAGGGTGTGCTATGCATTCGTCAATATCTTTCAAAATAAAAGAAAAAAAAAGAGAAAAGAATGAAAAATGGGATTTGGTTTTTATTCAAGAGTCATATAAGTGCATGTATGAAAAAAGTAGGATACTCGTTTGCAATTTTCTAGTTTCATATGATTCTCGGGCTGGACCCGTAAGTCAAACCGCTATTTTTGAAATTTTTACGTAGGTACAGCAAATACCACCTAAAGCATACGCTATTAACTGCTCTTATTATGCCACGGGAACACAAAACACGACATACAAACAACGAAAGAGAGAACGAACGAAAAGAAATCATCCATGACCACATTTCCTTGTTATTCACCTGTGCAATTTTTTCCATTTCCAGTATATCCAGGCTGACAATCGCATACATGTGATCCAATGGTGTTGCGGCAGTTTGCATTCTCGTGACAAGAGTGGTTTCCTTTACACTCGTCAACGTCTATGAAATCAGAGATAAAAAAAATGAGATTTCAAAATTATCCAAAAAATGCCTTTCATACGCCATTACCGTGTTAAAGAGTGCAAGCCATGGCTGTTTTCAACTTTTTGCTGAATTGCGAGAACGCGAGATTGTCGTACATGAAGAAAAAAGTTATCTATGTAAAAAGCTATCACGTGATAACTTTTAGTCGGGTAACTACTTCACCTATTTTGAAGAATTAAAACATGTCTTGCCACGTTACCAAAATAAACATCAACAAACAACCAAACTGAAAAAATCTCATTGCACTATTTAACGAGAATCTGAAGGCTTTTGAGACTATTAACAGTTACCTGTAATAAAATATCAACTTAAGTCATTTTCGGTTTCCATCAGAGAGTCATATGAACTAAGCAATTCACAAAAACCTAAATTTATTTGAAGCTTCTTGTTCTTAGTGGTTCTCAGGTGGGACCTTTCAATTAAGGTATTACTTCTGAGCTATCCTTGCTGTTACTATATTAAACATACGACATGCATTTGAACTGCTCTCATTTTGCCATGGAAAGGCGTCGAACGAAAATATACAGACGATTGAGCGAAGAAAACAATGCACACAATAAAATATAATAAGAAATTTTCTTTTGGAAAGATTCAACACAATATACAATGAGACAAATTCACGCCACTTTCAGCAACTAAAGGATAGTTGTCATACCGGCATTGAAAATCAGAAAAAAATCTCTCATATACATCATTTCAAGTGTTGACTAAGACTTTTACCCGTTCCACAACTTTCTCCCTCGAATCCAGGAGGACACAAGCACCGATATCCCTTGAGTGTAAATCCAGACTGGCAAGTTGCGTTATTTTGGCAGTGGGAACTCTTGTCACAAGCGCTCTGAAGGAGAAAGAGAAAATAAAATGAAATTACGAAAAAAAGATGGAGGGATTGACTGACAGAAGAAACTAAATACCGAAAGATCGAACACACGGAAATTTGCCAAAACATTAATTATTGTTTTTATATTATTCTAAGGCGACAATTTCGAAAAATCGATTTGTAACTCACCTTCGAGCCACGATAGTAAAAATTGGCATCAGTTGTCAAGTCACTGTCATATTTCAGATGCGTTGCGTTATTTAGCTCACAGATGTGACCTGGTTGATTATTGTCAGGATCCTTTTTGAAGTTAAGACTGACACAACTGTCGCTCAGGTAGCACAAAAGCTCACAGTCATCCAAGTTCTTGACGCGTTTCTCTTCAATGGCGTGGTTCACCAAACGTCTTCCAGCAAAGAAGTAGTAGTCTGGAAACAGCATTGCGCGCTCTCGCTCTACAGTAATCAAATTAAAATATTATTACAAGACATACTTTTCCGTTGCGAAAAAGATAAATTTCGAGTACAAAGATCTGAGAACTGATCTTTTAGCAAAAGTTCTCGGATCTCAGCAAACTACGGAGGCAAATACGTCAAGAACTTACGTCAAACAAAACATTTGATGAGAAGAACGATAATTCGTAAACGTGTCTAAAAAATTTTAAATTACTTCGCCGTTTTCTACAATTAAACAGTAACATAAAACTACCTTAATTTGAGAGTTTGAGTGCTTCTGAGGAACGGAACCTTGACGGAAAATTTTTCGTGTTTCACATGAATTTGGCAATTCAAGAAGCTCTTAGATTTTAGCTGAGTGTATCATATCGATAGAAAAGTCGAGCCTAATGAATAATTCTGTGAAATTCTTGCCACAAAGAGAGTTACTCGGTGTTAGCAATTTTTGATGTCGTTGTCATCAGTGCAATGAACTTAATTTGAATTCTCTCATAGAGAGCCTTTAATATCTCCAAAACTTTGACCAGGGCTGGTTTTCAAGGGCTTTCCTTTCTTTTTTCTTCTCTTAAACAAACAGGTGCTTGACTATTGAGTGTTTATTTAAAGAATGTATAACTGAAGAGGTCCCTTGTGGCTCCTTCCTTCAAACGGTTATCGTGAGCAGAGGAAATTCATGCAGATTGAAGCCGAAAAAATGAACAGATTTATATCAGTTTTTGAAAGTTTTCTAAACACAAATCTAAGAAAGAAATTTTTAAATTAGCACTTTTGTTAGCAACGTAGGTTGTTAGAATTGCTTCGCTGTGGTAAATATAATCATCTCTTTATTTCCGTCATTTGTTTCTTAAAACAACTCATTTATCTGTTCATCGTTTTCATTCATTAATTTGCTTTCCTCATCTCGAATAAAGTCCACCCAAATCATTTTTCCGTTGTTAAAAAATATTGATCACAGCGACAGAGTTTTAAAAACACTGAATAATGTATATTTGAATAAATTTCAGTCTAGTGTATCCTTGCAGCGAGATTAATTTTTAAAGAACACAAAATTTGAAAATTGCACGAAACTTCTGTGCAAAGGTTTTGTCAAGGATCTTCTTAATCAAGCTGTTCGTTCTTTGGCAAGTTTTAAAGCCTCAACTTAAAAAGGTAATACTTAAAAGTATTTTGGGTCAAAGGTTTTTTCTTAATTCCACAAAATGGTTCAAAACTTATGAGTCGGGCTACCCTATTTTCATTAAAAAATTTTTAAAACCAGAAAAGGTGGTCTATTCCAAATGCCAGCATTATTATTCTTGAAAAAGAACTATGCTTAAGTTGGCTATGAGCGGCCAATTTTTCTTCCATGCAAATTATCGAATTCCCATCTGCTAAACAACAATGAAATGTTTGTGATAGAATTGATTACCCTTCCATGTAAATATGAGCTGAGCGTTAGGATTGAAATGGTTTTGAATGAATCAATTCTTCATCGCAGCCGTTCTTAACTTTTTTGTAACGACTGCAAATTTGCGATATGGCCCATCATAATAACAACTCTCTTTAAAATACCATTCAATGTTTACAAAACAAGTTTTCAAGAGTGAGGTTCCTTCCTTTAGAGGTCATGTTTGTTGAGTTCAGGTTTTTAGTTTTTTCATTGCTCAGTGCATCAACTGTTGTGAATCAGCGAAATAGAAATAAAGAGTGATAGGAAATAAGATAACACGGGCTGAAGTATGTATATAGGGGTAGAAAATGATTCGCATTTTGCAACTCACCTTTACCAAGCGTCAAGTAAGTCATCGATGCAGTCGAGACTGCGAATACAAGAAACGTTGAAAATTCCATGCTTCCTCAAGACAACGGAGCTCAATATTGTTGCTTTCAGCATGCCACAAAATTCGAGTCGAGCACCTGCATCAGTTCAATAATGGATTAAGTAATAGAAAGCGACCTTTTTGTATTGAAAATGGAATATTAACAAGATTAACAGCTGTCAGTCCAGACCCATTGAAGTTATTGAAGCAAATGAAATACGTGGGCCTGCAAGTAAACATGTTTTCGATGTCTTCCGTTGTGTCAGTTAGAAAGACTTTGCCGAAACATTAACTTCAATTGCTTCATAATTTAATACAGTCAATGGGGTGCGTTTTAAGACAATAACATATTATTAACATATTCTTAAGAACGTTAGGTGAAGATACTCCGATAACTCGATAACTCAGTCATAAAAAAAATAGCCAAGTTCTCCCTTTCAAGAAGAAAGAAAATACAAATAGATGCCAGAAGTTGCTATTCATGTCTTTCTCATGAGGCCACAAAAAATTTCATTTCATTTAATAATTTATCTCTTATATTTTCTAGCTTGCTTAATTTTTTGGTGGAAGTTGCTCCGCCATGTTGGTGCCCAATTTTCAAATTACACTTAAAAAAAGTGTTTAAGTTCT